GAAATGCTTTTATATGGATAATGCACATCCATTGCCATCACCTATGATTGTTCGATCACTTGATGTGAAAAAAGATCCATTTCGTCCACTTGAAGATGGAGAAAACATTCTTGGTCCTGAAGTACCATACCTTAGTGCAATTGGAGTATTAGCTTATCTTGCAAATTGCACTCGACTTGACATAGCTTTTTCTGTAAATCTTCCTGCAAGATATAGCTCTACACCAACTCAAAGGCATTGAAATGGTGTTAAACATATTTTTCGTTACCTAAAAGGTACTATTGATATGGGACTGTTTTATTCTCAAAAGTCAAGATCTGCTTTAGTAGGATATGCAAATGTAGGTTATCTCTTCGATCCACATAAAGCTGAATCACAAACAGGATATATGTTTACACGGGAGGAATAGCTATATCATGGAGATCTATGAAGCAATCCTTGACAGCAACATCCTCAAATCATTCTGAGATTATTGCAATCCATGAAGCAGGGCGAGAATGTGTGTGGTTGAGGAATATGACCCATCATATCCAATCATCATATGGATTGACTTCAACAAAAGATAGTCCAACAATTTTGTTTGAAGATAATGCAGCTTGTATCGCACAACTCAAGGGAGGCTATATCAAAGGTGACAAGATGAAGCATATTTCTCCAAAATTCTTTCATACATATGAACTTCAGAAGAATGGTGACATTGATATTCAACAAATTCGCTCAAGTGACAATGTTGCTGATCTATTCACAAAAGCGCTGCCAATATCTGCATTCAAGAAATTAGTTCATAAGATTGGAATGTGTCGACTCAAAGATTTTCAGTGATCAACATCAAGCGGAGTAGTTGTACTCTTTTTCCTTCACTTAGGTTTTGTTCCATTGGGTTTTCCTAGCAAGGTTTTAATGAGGCAACATTTAATTTCAATACTCTGAAATAACTGTACTCTTTTTCCTTCGTTTGATTTTTTTTTCCCATTGGGTTTTTATCAAATAAGGTTTTAACGAGACAGATATTTTTGTAATATGTCATTCAAGGGGGAGTGTTGTAAATGGAAAATCCATTAAAGTTTATTGGTGAATGACATTTGCACTCCTGTAGTCCTACAAATTATTAACATTGTATCCTTGATTCTTACCTATAAATATAGGGCTTTGATTTTCAATAATACACACAAAAAATTTATTGAGTTTTCTCTATTCTCTTTTTCTCTCATTTTATAACAATTTAATCAATTAAATCCTACCAAAGCCACTCTATAACGTGCCACCTTCATAAGGTTTTAAATTCATTAAATAACATAATTAAAATATAATTTAAGGTTGCATCTTTCGACCTCGATATCTCAAGCTTCGCTAATCCAAATTAACTTTTTTTCGAACCTAATATGCATCTTTAATTATAATTTACCCAACGAGTCCAATATTCATATACTTATTATCACCCCGCCAATGTCTACGTTTTAACCCAAATCAAATTTAAATTTACTTTATATACACTTTAGTCCCTAAACTTTCAAAATATTAAAATATAACATACATAAATTAAATTCTATTCTACGAAATGTCAGAATATTACGTTATTGCTCTTTCGACCTCATTAATAATAAATTATATGTTTCTCATCATGTCGTGTTTCTTGAGCACATTCTATTCTTCTCTATTTCTGATAGTATTCATAACTGACTAAAACTAATTTCATTCATATTGATTCATTCTCTAATGATATAAACAGTCCACCTTCCCATACCTCGTGTACTGTTGATTCTTCATGTCCTGCAGGTACACATACTCCTTCTTTTATGGCTTCCCAAGTACCACCTGAGATTGTTGATCTAGCTCCTACTTCATCTCTTCGCCGATATCCTCAACATATTCGTAAGTCCACTCAGTGACCTGATTTTGATTATTCTTGTTATTCTGAGTCATTTTGCAGCTTTTTAATATCAATTCATAAGTTAGTTGAACCATCTTCCTATAAAGAAGCTATTTTGGATCCTCTTTGGATGTTAGTGAAGTCTCTCTCAATTGGATGTCAAAAATACCTTTTTAAATGGAAATCTTCAAGAGGAGGTTTACATGGTTCCTCATCTAGATCTTTCTCACTTTTCTAGATATGTTTGTAAACTCAAGAAGGCACTTTATGGCCTCAAACAAGCACATCGTGCATGATTTGAGAAATTTTCCACTATTGTTAGCTCTATTGGCTTTACATTCAGTCATCATGACTCCGCTTTATTCTTTAGATGCACTTCAGTTGGTCGCATTCTATTATTGCATACGTTGATGATATGATTATTATTAATGATGATGTTGATGGAATTGTAGGATTGAAATCATAATTGGCTTATTGTTTTGAAATGAAGGACTTAGGTACACTATCTTGTTTTTTGGGGATCAAAGTTGCTTCTTCTCCTAGCGGTTATCTTATCTCTCAATCCAAGTATCCTATGGATGTTATTGAGCATGCTTATCTTACTGATATTAAAACGGTTGATACTCCTCTTGAGTCCAATGCTCAATATTCATCCTCTGATGGTGGACCATTGACTAATCTTACTTTATATCGTACTATGGTTGGATATCTAGTTTATCTTACCATCACACATCCCAATATTGCTTATGCTGTTCACATTGTTAGTCAGTTTTTTTCAGCTCCTACTGCAGTTCATTGGGTAGCAGTTGTTCGTATTTTGCGTTATCTTCATAGTACATGCTTTCAAAGTCTTTTGTTTCCATCGACCTCATCCTTAGTGCTCCGTACCCACTCTGATGTTGATTGGGCGAGTGACCTCATTGATCGCAAGTCCACTACTGATTTTTGTATATTTTTGGATGATTCTCTTATCTCTTGAAAAAGTAAGAAGCAGACTGTTGTTTCTCGTTCCTCTACAAAAGCAGAGTATCGAGCTATGGTATCCACTACCGCCGAGATTGTGTGATTATGATGGTTACTTGCAGACATGGGTGTTTCTCATTCTTCCCCAACTCCCATGTATTGTGATAATACTAGTCCTATTCAGATCTCTCACAACTCTTTGTTCCATGAATTCACAAAGCATATTGAGATTGATTGCCATCTGGTTCGTCATCATCTGCAGACTGGCACCATTTCCCTACCTTTTGTTTCTTCATCGTTGTAGCTTACTGACTTCTTCACTAATTTTCATCCGATTCATCGTTTTCACTTCTTCCGTAACAAACTCTCGCTGCTTCTTGCTTTAGCATCGTGAGTTTGAGGGGGGATGATAATATACATGTTTTTATTTATTTTATTTAGCATAATATTTAATTTCCTTATTTAGGTTTCCTTGTAGTATAAAAACTATTTTTATTTTCATTGTAAACCCTAATTCTTGTTGCTCAATAGATTGTTGTTTTGTCTCTTTATTCTTCTTCTTCTTCTCTTCTCTTTTCTTCCTTTTGGATTGATTCAACATATTGGTTTAAGATAGATCATATTGTTATCAGCTAAAACACTATTTAACTTAGTTAATTCCGAAGTCAAGGATTGAAATAAATGGGAGCAGAATAACTAATTATAAACTAGAATTAAATAATTACAAGCAATTAAGGTAGATATGAATTTCTTGTTACAAATGAACCATCTATGCATGTATAAATAGCCATAAAGAATGCCAACTGCCCTAACTAATTTACAGTGGGTGAAACAAACTAACAAACCATTTACACGTGGAAAAGAGAAGAAAAGAAAGAAAAGAAAAAAAGGAATTACAATAATTCCTAATACTCCCCCTCAAGATGTGTTAAATATATTCTTGACACACATCTTGACTAGTAAAGAATTGAGATTGGATGGAGGTAACGGTTTAGTAAAAGCATCAGCCAATTGATGTTGTGACCGAATCGGAAGCAGCTTAACCAATTGTTTATGAAATTATTTGTTTCGATTTAAAACCTACTGCAAGTGTACGGTTCGTTAACAAGTAGTAAAATGGACTATAAGTCCAAGTATCGATCCCACAAGGATTGAATTAGTTCAAATCAACCTATTATGACCTTAACCGAAATACGAAAGTAAAATTGATGTATTGTGATTAGCTAAAGAAGATGTAAACTATATTGCAATTATGAATGAAAGAATTATATTAAATGTAAAATGACTTGGACACAATCTACGAGAATTTATGAAATTAATAAATTTACTAACGCACTAGGATCACGAATTTTCAAGCAATACTTGTTCAATTTTCAATCATGTAAATTTGACACAGTCCTACAAAAGATGAATCAATCTTCCTATTTTAATTTAGCAATCTCTCTCAAGCAATGCCAAACCTACCCCAATATATGATTTGACTATATCTCTATGACGAATATTAACATACAGGAATATATTATGATTTCATGAATATGCAACAATTCACACAAGGCATAGAGGTATATTTCTACCCCCTATCGGACCCTATGATGATTTATACTATGTTGAGCCTATTTTCCTTCTTTCGAATGCATAAAACAGGCCACCAAAATCATATAATTACGTGCACGATAATAATATGGAAATAAAAACGTAATAAATCATTCAATTCCAAAACATGCGTTTAAATATGTCAAACATCCAAATCAAGAATGAAATGTAATATTGCAAGATTCATCGATCTCCTAGCAATGAAAAATCTAGCCTAACATGCTAAAAATAAGGAAATAAAAAAATAGTTGAAGAAATGTCATCACCCTAATCAAATTCAATCGAATCTTCACTTAGCGCAATGTTTTCCTCTTGTTTTCTCTTCGTTTTCTCCTTCAAAATTCTTTTTTCTTGTAAAAATGACATCCCCCTCGTTCTGGTCGAGTTTTCATTTATATTGGACCCTAAAAAGATTGTTTCCATAAGAGTTTCGGTGGAATAAGAAAACTACGGATTTGGCATAAAAAAATGCTCTATGCGACCACATAGAGCATCTCTATGCGGTCGGATAGACTAAAAGTTTTGTGACATTTAGTTTTTGGTTTGCCTCTTTGTGGCCGCATAGAGGGTAATTTGGTCCTTCTACTTGAATCCTTCACTTCTTGACATCTTTTCTTCATTCTTTTCATTCCATCATCCCAAGATATCATCAATTGACATTTGGCTTAATCAATTTCTCGATTTGTTTATCGGGTCAACTTTTGGATAATTGCACCTTGGTCCCTGAACTTTCACTTTGCGTCATTTTAGTCCTTTTTCGCGTCTTTTCTCCTGAATTTCACCATGTTCATCGGTGTTCCCTACAATTCACAATGTAACGAGATTAAGTCACAATTCAATCATTTTGCTCATTATTAAGTCATGTTTGTGACCTAAATAAGTGTGCAAAAACACACTTATCACCAATCCAGCAGCAATCTTTTCACGAACGAAGTGGCAATCGATCTCAATATGCTTCGTTCGCTCATGAAGAATAGGATTTGTGGCAATTTGAATTGCAGCATGATTGTCACAATAAAGGACGGCTAGAGTAGCAATCTTGATTTAAAAATCTATTAGCAACTGATTAATCCAGATGACTTCACTAACTGTGGCAGCAAGAGCTCTATATTCGGCTTCAGCTGATGATCGAGAGACAGTATGTTTTCTTTTTGATTTCCAAGAAACCATGGATTCACCAATAAAAATGCAGAACCCAATAGTTTATTTTCGTGTGCCAGGACAGGATCCCCAATCTGCATCTGAAAATGCTTGAAGTCTGAGAGTCTTATCTACAACACCATTATGAGATATTTTGTAGGAAGAGAATAAAAGCCCTTGGCGTGGGCTCCCTTTCAAATACCAAAGAAGGTGATGAATTGCCTTAAGATGTGGTACCCTTGGTTGAGACATTTACTGACTTAGCTTATGCACCACAAATGTTATGTCTAGTGAGGAAAGAGTTAAGTAGAGTAGTCTCCCAATCAACTTTCTATAATGAGTAGCATTAGGTAACAGGTCTCCATCATGCAAGCTGAGGGCTGTCTTTGGATCCATAGATGTATTTACTGGTTTACAGTCCAGATAACCAGCATCCTCGAGTAACTGCAAGGCATACTGCCATTGTGAAGTAACAATACCTGATGTGGAGCGAGAAATCTCAATCCCTAAGAAATATTTCAAGCAGCCTAGGTCCTTGAGTTTAAATTGAGAATGCAAGAA